ACGTCATCAATAACAGGGACACTAAAACACCTCACTTACTGGCTCAGACACAAACGCCCGACATATCCACTCCATAGATGGCGTTGTAGTCTGAGCACCACCTCACCAGAGGTCAGCGGCGGCGGTGTTGAGTGCTGAACGGGACTGGAAACTGGCCCTCGTAGCTAGTACACGTCGTCCTCGACAGGTGTCGTCGTCCATTTGGTGGGGGTTTCGGGAGCTGACCCACAGATGGCGCGGTCGTCACTGCTCCGTGCTCGGACGCTGGATCCGGGTTCGTAACACCCTCGGTGTGGACGACGCCATACTTACCAATGTGCGCGCAGAGAGAGACGCCATAGCAAAGAATTTGCTCAGTTTCTATTCGTTGTTACATTTATAAGAACGTTGCTACGTTAATTTGGCAATCAACAGCCGTGTCCTAGAACTAGCATAACTGCAATTCCATTGTCAACTCCTTTCACGCAGCAGCTGGAGGATCAGGGATTGCACAGTTCTCTCCATCAACGGACACGCGGCTCGACAACTATTATTTCCTTTCTGTTTTATGTGGCCACAGTAAACATTTAGGCTAGATGTCGTTAGGCCGAATGCAAATTAACAAAATCTCGTACGTTTCCTCTTTAGCAGTTTATTTTATATCACCACCAAAATCTACACCTTTCATCACCACCAACATATCCACCTTTCATCACCACCAACATATCCACTTCTCAAGACCACCAACATATCCTCCTCTCATGACCACCAGCATCTTCACCCTCTCATCACCACTAGCATCCCCGCCTCTTCTCACCATTAACATCTGCATCTCTCACCACCACCAACATCTCCACCTCTCATCACCCCCAATATCTCTATCTTTCATCACCACCATCTTCTCCACCTCTCATCACCATTAACATCTTCACCTTTCAATACCACCATCTTCCCCTCTCATCGCTACAAACATCTCCATGCATCATCACCACCAACATCTCCACCTTTCATCACCACCATCTTCTCCACCTCTTTCCGCCACCAACATCTCGATCCACTTCTCATCACCACAAACATCTCCACCTTCCATCGCCACCATCATCTCCACCTCTTCTCATAACCAACATCTTAACATCTCATCACCATCAACATCTCATCACCATCAACATCTCCACCTGTCAACACCACCATCACCACCTATCATCACCACAAATATCTCCACCTTTCATCATTACAAACATCTCCACCTTTCATTACCACAAACCACAAACATCTCCACCTCTTACCACTATTAACATCTCCCCCCCTCATCACCTCTCATCAAAGCAACATTTCATCACTACCAACATCACATATCATCACCATTAACATCTCAACCTTTCATCACCACCAACATCTCCACTTCTCATCACCAACATCTCCACTTCTCATCACCACCAACATCTCCACCTCTCCTCACCACCAACATCTCCACTTCTCACCACCAACATCTCCACCCCTCATCACCACCAACATCTCCACCCCTCATCACCACCAACATCTCCACCCCTCATCACCACCAACATCTCCACCCCTCATCACCACCAACATCTCCACCCCTCATCACCACCAACATCTCCACCCCTCATCACCACCAACATCTCCACCCCTCATCACCACCAACATCTCCACCCCTCATCACCACCAACATCTCCACCCCTCATCACCACCAACATCTCCACTTCTCACCACCAACATCTCCACCCCTCATCACCACCAACATCTCCACCCCTCATCACCACCAACATCTCCACCCCTCATCACCACCAACATCTCCACCCCTCATCACCACCAACATCTCCACCCCTCATCACCACCAACATCTCCACCCCTCATCACCACCAACATCTCCACCCCTCATCACCACCAACATCTCCACCCCTCATCACCACCAACATCTCTACCCCTCATCACCACCAACATCTCTACCCCTCATCACCACCAACATCTCTACCCCTCATCACCACCAACATCTCTACCCCTCATCACCACCAACATGTCCACCCCTCATCATCACCAACATCTCCACCCCTCATCACCACCAACATCTCTACCCCTCATCACCACCAACATCTCCTCCCCTCATCACCACCAACATCTCCAACCCTCATCACCACCAACATCTCCACCCCTCATCACCACCAACATCTCCACCCCTCATCACCACCAACATCTCTACCCCTCATCACCACCAACATCTCTACCCCTCATCACCACCAACATCTCTACCCCTCATCACCACCAACATCTCTACCCCTCATCACCACCAACATCTCCACCCCTCATCACCACCAACATCTCCACCCCTCATCACCACCAACATCTCTACCCCTCATCACCACCAACATCTCTACCCCTCATCACCACCAACATGTCCACCCCTCATGTAACGGGGGGTGGGGGAAATGGCTCTATCATGTCCATTACTCCACCCCCCCCCCCCAGTTAACTAACGAGGCCGGGGGAAACAGCTCTCTCTAGTCCGTTATCCCGTCCCCAGTTAGCTAACTATTCTAGAGCACTCCCAGAGTTCCTAAGGCAACCTCTCTCGTTCAACATCTTGTAACCTAGGTATTTGACTACCTAGGTGCTAAGACTACAAGGCGCCGTAACTTGATCAGCTACCCGAAACTCTAGAGAGAACTCTAGAATACGTTTCACTGCCACAAACGTATAAGAGAAAACGAAAGGAAAGAAATGAATAGTGAAGTAATTAGTGAGGGTTTGAGGTGAGAGGTGGGAGGAGCGAGGAGGGTCATTAGTTGAAAGTGAGAGTTTAGAGAGGGGTGGAGGGAGAGGTGTAGATAGGTAGAAGTAGAAGAGTAGATAGTAGAAGTAGAAGAGTAGATAGTAGAAGACGAAATGCTGCCACCATCCATTCTAGACCATTGCATACAAGACAAGGAATGGAACTTGTCTGTATCAAAATATTCTCAAAAGATGTTATCAAGAGGTCATTATTAGTATGTCCAATCTTTATCATGTACTCATTAAATCATGAAACCAGTAATCACAGAGGCTTTCTCACCTCAACTCAAACTCTCGGGGACACAGTTAAAGGCAAATTAAATAATAAATTCAATTACATTTCACATACTAAGTATCATAATTTAAGCAATGTTCAAGATATATATATATGTAAAGTGAGTCATCCTCCAAGAATCTGAGAACACTACAACTGACTGCCCCTGATCATCACACAACACTTGTAAAACACGACCAAGTCACCTTAATGTTCAACTCACCAAGTGTCTGCCTATAGCTGGATAGAGGGGGGGGGGTCTATAGTTGACAGAGACTGTCCCGCCCTGCCGGCCGACAGCCTCCCTGCTAGGCCGTCTCCTCTGCTCTGCTGGCTGCTGTTCTTCTCTGTTAATGCTCACGAATCGATAGCTCTCCGAGTAAATATTGGGGAACCTAGTAACTAACTCCGCCCACAAGTAGATAGCCACCGGCTCTCTACCAAGCCACTCCTTAAACGTCGGCATGTTTGAAGGCTACCAGGCTCCAATTATAAGATTAGCAGAAGCAAGGTGAAATTCACATGATCTGACCTCAGGTCACTTGGTGGTCATTAACTCTTAGAGGTGTGAAACTCCGGCCGACAACTTGGCGCCATCTCAAATCCTTGTCTGACTCATATATCTCTATGTATTAAATAAAACTAAGCCAAACACTTTTACAGTGTTACAATCACCACCAACATCACCCCTCATCACCACCAACATCTCCACCTCTCATCACCACCAACATCTCCACCCCTCATCACCACCAACATCTCCACCCCTCATCAACATCAACATCTCCACCTCTCATCAACATCAACATCTCCACCTCTCATCACCATCAACATTTCCACCTCTCATCAGCACCAACATCTCCACCTTTCATTATCACCAACATTTCCACCTCTCACCACCACCAACATCTCCACCTCTCACCACCACCAACATCTCTACCCCTCATCATGCACCACCAACATCTCCACCTCTCACCACCACCAACATCTCTACCCCTCATCATGCACCACCAACATCTCCACCTCTCTCCACCACCAACATCACCACCTCTCGCCACCACCAACATCTCCACCTCTCACCACCAACAACATCTCCACCTCTCACCACAACCAACATCTCCACCTCTCACCACCACCAACATCTCCACCTCTCTCCACCACCAACATCTCCACCTCTCACCACCAACATCTCCACCTCTCACCACCACTAACATCTCTACCTCTCGCCACCACCAACATCTCCTCTCGCCACCACCAACATCTCCTCTCGCCACCACCAACATCTCCACCCCTCATCATGCACCACCAACATCTCCACTCCTCATCACCACCAACATCTCCACCCCTCATCACCACCAACATCTCCACCCCTCATCACCACCAACATCTCCACCCCTCATCACCACCAACAACTCCACCCCTCATCACCACCAACATCTCCATCCCTCATCACCACCAACATCTCCACCCCTCATGCACCACCAACATCTCCACCCCTCATCACCACCAACATCTCCACCCCTCATCACCACCAACATCTCCACCCCTCATCACCACCAACATCTCCACCCCTCATCACCACCAACACCTCCACCCCCTCATCACCACCAACATCTCCATCCCTCATCACCACCAACATCTCCACCCCTCATGCACCACCAACGTCTCCACCCCTCATCACCACCAACATCTCCACCCCTCATCACCACCAACATCTCCACCCCTCATCACCACCAACAACTCCACCCCACATCACCACCAACCTCACCACCCCTCATCACCACCAACATCTCCACCCCTCATCACCACCAACATCTCAACCCCTCATCACCACCAACATCTCTACCCCTCATCACCACCAACATCTCTACCCCTCATCACCACCAACATCTCTACCCCTCATCACCACCAACATCTCCACCCCTCATCACCACTAACATCACCACCTCCCATCATCACTAACATCACCATCTCCCATCACCACTAACAGCTTATCAATACCAACATCTCCACCTGTCACGACCACGAACATCTCCACCTCTCGTCTTCACTATCATCACCTCTCATCATTACCAACATCTCCATCTCTAAGCACCACCAACATCCCCACCTCTAATCACTACCAACATCTCCACCTTTCACCACCACCAACATCTCCACCTTTCACCACCACCAACATCTCCACCTTTCATCACCACCAATATCTCCACCTCTCATCACAATTAACATCACCTTTGAACACCACCATCTCTCCCTCTTATCGCTAAAAAACATCTCCATGCATCTTTCACCACCAACATCTCCACCTTTCATCACCACCATCTTCTCTACCTCTCTCCGCCACCAACATCTCGATCCACTTCTCATCACCACCAACATCTCAACTTCTCATCACCACAAACATATCCACCTTCCATCGCCACCATCATCTCCACCTCTCACCACCACCAACATCTTCACCTCTTCTCATAACCAACATCTTAACATCTCATCACCATCAATATCTCCACCTGTCAATACCACCAACATCACCTCAAACATCTCCACCTCTCACGACTATTATCTCCCCCCCTCATCACCTCTCAAGAGCAACATCACCTCACATCACCACCAACATCACCTTTCATCACCATTAGCATCTCAACCTTTCATCACCAACATCTCCACCTCTCATCATCAACATCTCCACCCATTATCACCATCTCCACCTCTCATCACCAGCACCAACATCTCCAACTCTCTTAACCACTAACATCACCTCTCATCACCACCAACATCTCCATCCCTCATCATCTCCACCAGTAGTAGGGAGTACAGTCCACAGAACATTTTTTTTTTTCAGGCGAGAGGACCCCTGTGGACTGTACAGTCCACAGAACATTTTTTTTTTTCAGGCCAGAGAACCCCTGTGAGGTGTAAGCGCCACAGGTAATTTTTTTTTTCTGGGAAATATCGTGTCTGTGAGCCAGGGTTTTCAGGTAAAATTTATGTCTGAGATTTTAGAAGTTTGTTAAGGTCTTATGGGAGAAATAGCAATCTGTCGCCTCACCTGTGTTTACTTTAGACATCAGCCAGACGCGGCCTTCAGGTCACCTCGGTAATCGTATCTTATCTTCTCCATAATAATATCTGGACCGTCCCTCTCTCTCTCTCTCTCTCTCCTCCTATTTCCTTACAGCTATTTTCAGAGTTTCAAATAATCATAGAAGTTTATTTATATGTTTATGACCGAATTTGTAAAAGGACCATTTTCAGAGAATATTGTCTTAGATGTTTTGTTAATGAAAACAGACAACTTATCCATAACATTTAGTTTTATATCCATTTACGGCTATTTCACCTGTAAAGACCAAAATTCGTCAGAGACAGTTTTAAGCTCATATTTCATCAGAGTCCAATTATCAACAGAAATTCGCCAGAGTCTACTTTGAGAGCAAAATTCGTCAGAGACAGTTTTAAGCTCATATTTCATCAGAGTCCTGTAATCTGTGAAAATTCGCCAGAGTCTACTTTGAGAGCAAAATTAGTCAGAGACAGTTTTAAGCTCATATTTCATCAGAGTCCAATTATCAACAGAAATTCGCCAGAGTCTACTTTGAGAGCAAAATTCGTCAGAGACAGTTTTAAGCTCATATTTCATCAGAGTCCAATTATCAACAGAAATTCTCCAGAGTATACTTTGAGAGCAAAATTAGTCAGAGACAGTTTTTAGCTCATATTTCATCAGAGTGAAATTCGCCAGAGTCTACTTTGAGAGCAAAATTAGTCAGAGACAGTTTTAAGCTCATATTTCATCAGAGTCCAATTATCAACAGAAATTCGCCAGAGTCTACTTTGAGAGCAAAATTAGTCAGAGACAGTTTTAAGCTCAAATTTCATCAGTGTCCAGAGAGTCCAGTTCTTGATCGAAATTCATCAGAGTCCAGTTTTCTAGCAAAATTCGTCAGAGTCTACTTTGAGAGCAAATTAGTCAGAGACAGTTTTAAGCTCAAATTTCATCAGAGTCCAGTTCATGATCGAAATTAATCAGAGTCCAATTAAAGACCCAAATTTGACAGAGACCACATTTTCGCTACTAGCAGTCCAATCCCCCTGAAATTTTAAACAGTCATATTTCAGACGTAGTAAATAAGATCAAGTCAGTTACTGAGCTCCAGCTCTTGTCCCCCTGTATTTGCATATTTTCTCTATATTCAGCTGTATTCTTCACATTTTTTCCATGTTTTCTGTGTTCATTCCATGTTCTATAAATGTTCACAGCATGCTCAGTTCAAATTTTTTCTACCATTTTTCCCCGTATGTTCACTATGTTCTTTGTCATATTTTCATGTGCATCATATGTTCTCTGTATAACTTTTATACTCAATATTCATGTTCTCAATGTTCTTAGCTTGTTCTTCACATGTTCAGTGTTCATTCTTTGTATTCCCTATGTTCCTTATCATGTCTTCATATTCTCTATAAGTTCATATTCCCTGCATGTTCACTCTATTCATCAACTTTTTCTTACATGTTTTCTGTGTTCACCGTATGTTCACTGTGTTCATTCCCCTACATAACCTCAATTTTTTATGTTCTTTGTTTCTTTAAACAAATTTGTTTCTTCCATTCACTAACTAGTTCTTTGTCAAATAATATTATACTGCAATTCAGTTCCCTCAACAATTTTTGTCTCCCAGTTTTTATTTGCAAAACTATGTCAAAGTAATTCTCGTAGTCAACTTAATAGTTCTACCAACCCCGTTCTTAAACAAATCTACACTTTATTCAGTTCCAAATTTACAAAGACAAACCTTTCTTGTAACTTCATAACTAAAAATCTTTCGCCAATCAACTAAAACATAGTCGCTTTCCTCTTTTCTCAACTAAACTTATTATCCATTCAACCAAAAAATAGTCAAAGGAATCTTTCCAACACTGTTCATAACTAAACTTATTCCCTAGTCATCAGAAAATAACCATGTTCTTCATGTTTCATTGTCATTTCATAACTAAAATTATCCATCAATCAACAGAAATAGTCTTGTTCATCATTTTGTAACAACCATTATGTTTTCGTCAAAGTAAGAAAAAATAACCAAAGATATCTTTCATCGCTGTTCTTAACTAACATTTATACTTTGGGGAGCACAAAAATAGTCTCCCTCGTCATGTTTTGTCTTTTTCCTTAACTAAAAGTATTCATCAGTCAGCTAAAAAATAGTTACTTCATCATATTTCCTTGTCATTTCGTAACTAAAATTACATGTCGCTAAGTAAGAAAAATAGTCAAATGTAACTTTTTCAGCACTTTCGTAAAAATTATATGTCGTTAAGTAAGAAAAATAGTCAAAGGTGCTCTCCGTGACACCAAAGTTACTCTTCGAGAAATCAAAGACACTCTCAAACACTCAAAAATTTACTCGCATCCTCAAAGTTATTCTCAGAGTCATCAAAAAGTTAATCTCAGTCATCAAAATGCTATTCTCTAAGTAGCCTTTCATTCATCAGAGAAACTTTCTAAGACATCTTCGTTCATTAAAGTTAATCTCAGAGGCATAAAAGTTATTCTCAGAGTCATCAAAAAGTTAATCTCAGTCATCAAAATGCTATTCTCTAAGTAACCTTTCATTCATCAGAGAAACTTTCTAAGACATCTTCGTTCATTAAAGTTAATCTCAGAGGCATAAAAGTTATTCTCAGAGCTATCAAACTTGTTCTCGATGCCATCAAAAAGTATTTTCTCGTTCATCAAAGTTAATCTCAGAGTTAACAAAGGTAATCTCTAACTCACTTTCGTTCAACATATTAATTCGCTAAGTCCTCAAAGTTATACTCTAAGACAACAAAGTCTTTCTCAGAGCTATCAAACTTGTTCTCAAAGTCATCAAAGTTATTCACAGAGTCATCAAAGTTAATCTTAGACATCATTTTTCATCAAAGATATTCTCTCTAAACCATCAATGTTCTTCTCTAAGACATAAAAGTTATTCTCAGAGTCACCTTCGTTCTGCAGAGAAACTTTCCAAAACATCTTTGTTCATCAAAGTTATTCTCGGAGTCATCAAAAGGTATTCTCTAACTCACTTTTGGTCATTAAAGTTAATTTCTATGTTATAAAAGTTTGTCTCAGAGACATCTAAAGTTAATCTTAGAGTTATCAAATGTAATCTCTAACTCACTTTTGTTCATCAAAGTTGATCTCAGAGTTAACAAAGGTAATCTCTAACTCACTCTCGTTCATCAAAGTTGTTTCAAAGACATCAAAGTTAATCTCAGAGTTATCCAAAGATATTCTCATGTCCACAAAAGTTATTCCAAGAGACGTCAAAGTTAATCTCAGACATCTTCGTTCATAAAAGTTATTCTCAGAGACATCTAAAGTTATTCTCTAAGACATCAAAGTTATTCTAAGAGCTATCAAAAGTTATTCTCAGTCATGATATGTTATTCTCTAAGTAACCTTCCATTCATCAAAGACATTCTCTAAGTCCTGAAAGTTATTCTCTAAGACAGCAAAGTTATTCTCAGAGTCATCAAAGTTATTCTCTATGTCATCAAAAAGTTATTCTCTGAGCTAACAAAATACTACTCATGTTCTCAGAAGTCATTCTCAAACTCATCAAAGTTATTCTCAGAGTCATCAAAAGTTGTTCTCTAAGACATCAATGTTGTTATCTACGACATCAAAGATGTTCTGTAAATCATAAAAGTTAATCTTAACTCACCTTCGTTCATTAGAGAAACTTTCCAATCCATATTCGTTGACCAGAGTTATTCTCAGAGTCATCAAAGCGATCTCTAATTCATCTTCGTTCTCCAAAAAGTTGTTCTCTAAGACACCTTCATTCATCAAAGAAACTCTCCTTCTTCCATCATGTTATTCTTTAAGACATCTTCAGTCATAAAATTTTCTCTCCAAAATGTAACTAGTTCAGCTTTTCATACCAAACCTGCACTTGTTAAAATATATTTCCTTAGTCGCTTTACCCTGAAACTGTTCTCTGAACTACACTGTTCAAACCTACGTAACCTATCCTCTCCACCCAATGTTACTTACCTAACTTAACCTGCATAACCTAACTTTACCTATCTTACCTTACCTTACCTATCTTACCTAACCTAACCTAACTTTACCTATCTTACCTTACCTAACCTAACTTATCCTGCTTAACCTAACTTTCTTACCTTACCTATCTTACCTAACTTACATAATTTAACCTAACTTAACCTGCCTAACCTAACTTTACCTACCCTAACTTAACTTACCTACATTACCTAACTTAACTTAACCTGCTTAACCTAACTTACCTACATTACCTAACTTAACCTGCATAACCTAACCTGCTTAACTTACCTATCTTACCTAACTTACCTACATTACCTAACTTAACTTAACCTGCTTAACCTAACTTACCTACATTACCTAACTTAACCTGCATAACCTAACCTGCTTAACTTAACTTACCTTACCTATCTTACCTAACTTACCTACATTACCTAACTTAACTTAACCTAACTTACCTACATTACCTAACTTAACTTAACCTAACTTACCTACATTACCTAACTTAACCTGCATAACCTAACCTGCTTAACTTAACTTACCTTACCTATCTTACCTAACTTACCTGACTTAACCTAACTTATCCTGCTTAACCTAACCCACCTACATTTACCTAACTTAACCTGCCTAACCTAACTTTACCTACCCTAACTTAACTTACCTACTTTACCTAACTTAACCTGCATAACCTAACCTGCTTAACTTAA